GCAGTATTCTTTTTGCTCACCCACTCTACAAGAACCTTGGATTTGCAAAAGGCACAAGCCTTCTAGGAGGTCTGAGCGTCATTGGCATCTTTGGCATGTGGATCTTGTTCTTCTATGGTGCGAAGCTACGAGCCCTCAGCAAGTTCGCTACTTGATCTTAAGACAAATTCGCTTTTCTTTGCGATATCAACGGATGGAGACTGGCTGAAATTTTCTGGGCTCTGGCAAGCTACGACTGACAAATACACATTAGGCTCTTATTTGGAGTCTAGTAACGTGGTTGTATCGCAGGGATTTGGGGAAGGGAAAGAGCTTTTCTGGAAGGTGTGCAAAATAATGATGTGTTTTTACTCTTAGATCTATAAATACTTGGACAGAAACTTCTCCTCTCTAATATATTCACATACTCTTATATCTGCTTCAGCACTAAGTTCTTTATGCTGACTTAAGCTCTCGGCCATAAGTCTCAGCTGCAAATGATCCACCTAGCTAACAACTTAGACATTATACCACAGTGACTAACCATTCGCTACAGCATGAAGCTAATTGCTCTAGCACTATTATCTACGATGTTCCGGGAAAGTCAAGATACTTACACCGCATAGTCAGCCATTTTTCAGTAACCTTCCACGTGTCTTGTGGCTGGGAGTTACGTAGAGTGGTACAGATAGGAGCTGACTTTTCGACATTACTCTTGACCTCGTAGCAGCTATGGGCTGTCATTTCTGCATCATGAAGACTTGACAGTAGATGCTTCATCCGTCGTGGACACATGGCAGAAGTTCGATTGCGATGATCATGGGCTAATTTATTTGAGGTACTGATGACTATGCAAGCTTTTGTCACTGCTTGATTAATTGGCTTAGTTAAATGCCTCTGTTCCCGAAGCTTCCTTATCTCCAAACCAAGACCAGATATCGTGGAGCAGCAGAGCAGGGACCTCGTAAGCAGCGAAATGGCCGCCATGGCCATGTGCTGTTCTCTTTAGAACATTTCCTCCCCGCTTTGCCCAGTCCAACGGCATACGGTAAGTCAAGTCGTAAGGGAATTGACTGATAGCGACTGGAATCTCTACAAGGGGCAGGGTACCAAAATCTAGTGTTTCGAAACCCCCATCATTTTGAACTTCCTTATAGAACCGCATGCCACCGTATGGACCTTGGATCCAATACATCATGGACCAAGTAATGATCTCCTCGGGAGTCCATGCCATGATAGCTGGGTCAATGACCCTACTCATGATGGAATACATCCACATGGCGTTCCCAAGTGGCGAGTCCGTCATACCATATGCGACGGTGAGTGGCTCCGTGGACATGATGAGTCGGTATCCAGATCCCTGGTTCTCGTAGTTCTCTATAATCTTGATGTATGCAGTTTCATCAGGCGTTGCTTCTCCCTGTGCCAGACGACGAAGGTCGTTATTACTGGGCTGGATAATCCAGAAATTGCTGAGAGCCGAGATCACGTTCTTTGGGAAATGGTGGGCTTGGTAGCGAAGTATGACACCACCAAAATCTCCGCCTTGAATGACGTATCTGGAGTAGCCAAGCTGAAGCATCAGTTCGTTGAATGCAAAAGCAGCCGCTGTGGGACCAAAGCCTGGCTGTGCCGGTGCGGGAGAGAATCCAAAGCCTGGGATCGAAGGCGCAACGACGTGAAATGCTGGTACAGATGCATTTGGTGGGTTTGTTAGATCTCCGATAATGTTACCTACTTCGAGGAAGGACCCTGGCCATCCGTGAATGAACAGCAATGGTATCGCGTCGGACCTGGGTGAGCGGTGATGTACGAAATGCAGCGGTACAGAGTGGGTGGCGTTATCGATCTCAGGCTCAACAATAGTCGTAAACTGTTTGAATCTTTGAAAGTATCAGTAGTCGTGTTGAAATATCTGTTGTTATAATCCTTACCTCTTGTTGATAGAAGCTTCCGTCGCATTCCAATTATACTCATTCACCCAGAAGTCACGAACGCTTGTGAAGTTCTCAACCCCAGGGCCATCGCTTGGCAAATTTATGAACAATGGTGACCTTGTATGAGCAACTCGCTGCCGGGTGTCCTCAATAAAGTCTCGTTCAACATGAATCTGGAATGGCTTAGGATTCTTGGCAAAGGTGGCATTGACGTTTGGCAGCGAGAACGGCTCTGAAGCAGCACAAAAGAGAGGGCCAACGGAAAGGATAAGTACATGAAGGCACCGCATGATGACTTTTGACGAAAGACAGATTGAATCAGTGTCTGTTTTTCAGATGATACATTCTTATACATTTATTCTATGATGATTTGACCTTGTCAGATACTTCCTCGCCGTCCTTTCTGATTTATAAGCACTTCACCTCCTTTACGAGTGCTCTAAGGGTTTGATGGTTTTCTTTTATGTTGACGTGGCACCAAGAGAGTTGATTGGGTAATTTTACCGACGTCATGGGCATTGAGTAATCCATATGAGTAATCAGCGCCCTTCTGCTGGCAAGACAAACCATACTCGAATGGTAGTAGATTACAGCACTTCTCTCCATCCTTGGTAGCTCAGACGACGATCTTCTTCTAAAATGTTTGTAAGCGACTTTTTAGTATCGAATTTTCTCATTCGAAGGCTGACGATGTTCCCGGCGCTGTATCCGAGGCTGTCCGGATATAAATCACTGCGACACCCAATAATTGCGCATACATTACCTCCTCGACTGTCAGATTAAGTGCTTCGTATATATCAAACGAGAAACGCAACCCAGCGCAAATCGTGTAAGATCTATACACAAGGTCGTAGGGATGCCTGCTAAGTCTTACAGTTCTTCTTGCCAGTACAAATAAACTTCAGCACACCTTTCCAGCAGCAATCGATCTGCATGGAAGGAATTGCAAAGCAGTCAAGTCTCCAACTGATTCCCAGGACTGTATCCGAACGATCACGGATATTAGGCACCTGGAGCATTTGTAATCCTGGAGTCGCTGGTCGAAACTTTGTAAACCTCCACGTTATCATCAGCCCCATTCAATATGGTACCCTACAACGATCTTGGTCATAAATAGGCCTTGCCATAGTCCTATCAATTTTCTATGATTTATCAACTTACCCAAAGATATGCTGAGGCATATATCTTTCATTGACTATAGTCATGGCTACCGTTCAGTTTGGCATTTTGGCCTTTGCCTATCAAGTAATTGATGCCAGCGGTCCCATGGACCTCCTCAACTCGGCCAACAAGACGGCATTTCGTATTAATCGAGAGTATGGCCCCGTTAGCGATGAACTCATCTCACAGGCGCCGCAATTCATGTTCCACCATATTGGCGTTACAAGAGATCCCGTTAAGCTCGGCACCGGCCAGATGACTATCATCCCTACAGCCACTGTAGATAACTGTCCTGAGCTTGACGTCTTACTTGTTCCAGGACCTTACCTCGGCAACTTCGATCTGCACCCAAAGCACGCCGACTTCATTTGCAAACATGTCGCTGCCAGGAAGTTGCTCTTTACAAGCTGCACCGGAGCTAGCCTTGTCGCATCCACGGGTGTTTTGAATGGGAAGACAGCTACTGTCAACAACATCGAGTTCGATTGGGTCCGCAACCGTTGGCCTCAGGTCAACTGGACAAGAGAGAGAAAATGGATCATTGATGAGAACATTTGGACTGGATCTGGTGCTGTAGCCGCTATGGATATGGTGGCCTATTGGCTCAAAGAGAATTATGGTCTGCCTGTGCTTGTTCAGGCTGCCTCAACCCTGGACTATGAACCTCGGGATGCGGATGGTCTATTCAGTGTTTTGCCTCAAAGATATGATTCGAAGGGAAAACAGACAGCTACTCACATATTTAAGTACTACGATTCTTAGATAGCACGACTGTCACATTAGAGAAAGCACCAAGTTACGATAGAGTACACTATGCGGAGTTCATGCGGCGGATTTAATAATAAACCCGTTTAGTTACCTGAAAAGTCTCCGATTTCAGCAGCCTTTCTCCATCATTGTTCCGTCTCGGGCCGCTTCCCCTCCGACCTATAGGTAGTCGCCGCTTATGCTCCCCGCTTATATGTCGATCTGTGACATCCTATGAGTGGTATATCAGAATCCTGAGTATTGGGGTAATTGACGGCCAGCGGTGGGTTACAAGCCTTCGCTTTCAGCTTCTAGCCGCTTATGCTGGCTTACAAGATCGCCAACCCCAGACTTTCCCTGACCTTCCGAGTATGGTCTTAGCAAATAGGGAAGTCGTCCTCGTACCAGCCTCGATCTATGTCACCAAATAGTGACGTAGCTTACAAACATAACGTTATGAGTCTACAGCTGTAACGGCACAAACGCAACCCTACTAATTGAGTACTGAATAAGATGGGAGCGTAACAAGTGCCGGTTTCCGTTCACCATTTAACCTCGTACTGTAGAGGAGCCAATTAAAATTATGCATTTGAACGGAAACCTCACTGAGCCACGCGTCGCTACCCATCATATGGTGGTAATTGAACCAGTAGCTAGTATGATAGCATACGACAACTTCTCCTGACACATCTGATGATTGCGGAGTCCGCAGAACCCCAATTTCAATGCATCAGGCATGGCTACCAAATAGATACACACGACTGTTCAGGAGCTGGAAGTCCTAGAATAAGTCACATGGCTCACATTTTAATGAGACTTGTCCTGAGTAGCCTCCCCGAGGGTCCGACTTAATCTATGGCGTATGACTTCATGATACGAACTTTTGTGACTCGGATGTAACACTTTCCGCTTATGAGCACGTTGCTTTATGGCTGTGTTGGCTGTCGGTGCAGAATTGTCTCCGTTGAGCCCCCAGTGACCTACGATTGGAAAAGCAGGTGGGAACTTTACAGATATATAAAGGTTCGCGGATCCCCGGACTTGTCATGATATTCCACACTTCATAACCTTATTCACACGGACAAATACCCATACAACCACAAAGATTCATCACTCGAAGAGATCTACCTCAATATGCAGTTTAGTAACCTTCTCTCTACTGCCACCTTGGCCACGATGGCTATGGCTGCCTCTGTCCAGGTCAACTTGTCAGTTCGCCTGCATTTATCACAGTGTGTCGGATTATCTAACCAAATTTTAGTTACTCCGACACTGGATGCCAGAACTTCATCGGGTCTCGCTTCATTGACTTTGACCCAAACCAGGGCGGCACATTCCATAGCGGTGGTCCCTCAGGCTCCCGTGGTGGTCTGTTTGTCAACTCCAACGGAGATAACCTCGCTTGTGTGTTTCTCACCTTCGATCCCTATTTGTCCTCTATGCTGACTCTGAAACCTGCAGTCCGTGGGTTTAGCAACCACGCTGATGGTAGCAGCCCTTTCACTGGCAACGTCGTTGATGGTGAATGCATTGGTACCCTCAATGGTGTTGTTGCCGTCTTCATCGTCTGAGTGGCATATGCTTCATGAAGCTGACAAATGACATCATCTACGGAAGAAGGTTGCACGAGCTACTGACAAAGAAATCCGGATGGTCGATATGAGGGTGAAATGGCATATTCAACATATGGGTCATTCAAAGTAGTCACAATCGTTATACTAAATTCACTCGTTATTTAAATTCCGTCTCCTGACTCCCAAGCCCGCCTCTCTACCGCCAATTCCTCGCTATAATCACCAAACTCGCTGAACACGTCAGACATCATTTCGTTATGTCTCCTTGGCCACCGAAAGCTTTCAAACATGCTCTTAGTGTAGTCCCAATACTCAGGATAGTATCCCGCTGTTTCCCAATCTATAATTCCACTTAACTGCCATCCTCTAACTCCAGCAGAATTGCTAATCCGCTCCACCATAATGTTTCGAGGATTGAGGTCTCCGTGGGTAAAACAAATCTGGTGCCCACGTCGGCTGGGCTCGTCAGAGAAGCGTAGATTTTGGCTAAACGACGCTTCATCTGGAAAGGGTCCGACGGCAGACCAATCTCGAATGCGCGGATCGCGGCAGGCTTCACCCAAGGTATTGCAGATAGCCATATTATGATTGGCCGGCTTGGGAATGTCCCGCATTTGTGACACACAATCCTTGAGCTGAACAGAGAGGTTGGCGTAGTCTTGGTCAGAAAGCGCATCCCGACATATCGCCAATGGTGTGCCTGGAACCCTAGTCATGAGGAGATAACTCGAATCATCCTCGTCATTGTTCTGGCACACTATATCTAAGGCTCGTGGCGCAGGAATTGTTGTCTTTTGTTCCAAGATCTGGAGGGCATTATACTCGTTCCTCAGAGTATCCAGGTTGGAGTTAAACTTGAGGTATAGTCCAAAAGGTAACTTCTGGACTTGCGCATCTCCATCTTTTCTGTAGAAGCAGCTTCCCAGCTTTCGCAACAGATCGTAGGCCGTAATACGAATTTTTGATGTAAATAACCGCCACAAAAGTATTATTGGGCGTACGAATGTGTGTCCCAGGCCAAGATTACTTGAACGCATGCGGACTGGGGACTGCTGTTGGGGGGCATATTTGGTGGTTTTCGGCTCGGAGACCAGACCAGGGGCGATGGTCCTTGCAAGATTCACAAGCTGGAGACTTCTGGAGAATCGGGCGTGGGAACCATTTAACCGTGCATCGACCTTATCGATTCCCTGCCGCGAATGGTCACCCAGCAAAGCAATAGGGCCGTTCACATCGACAGGTTGCTCATCATCAACACGAACATGCTCAACTCTGAACTAGCCACTGTTATTAGGACTGATGTTCTCTTTTGGACAATACCTCTTAACTCGATCATGGATGAAGAAAATCGCATTAATTTGACGAGTCCGCGCTGGAAGGAGTCCTGCACGCTCCGACGGACAAGCCAATGGGTATGATAAGGTGAATATATCTCGGCTCTGTCGATGAAGAGACGCCACCAATCGAAGTATTGAAGGCCAAAGAATGCTTCTAGGAGCTTCACAATACGTGGCTAGTCTTAGCGTTAGACGTGAGGGTATGTATAAGCGACAGAAACAAAACGAACTGACCTCCCCTTTGAGCCACGCAGAGGGTACAGGTAATACCGGGGCGACTACCAAGGGGTCCCAGAGGCTACCCTGTTTGCCCGTCACGCAGCAGATACGTCCGTCTCGCTTTTTGATGGCATTGATCTCATCATGCGAGGGGGCTCGTGGATGCGTGCCCGAGATGACTACATCCGGTCGAGTAAGTGAGTGGCGTTATCTCAAGCGGAGAGAAGATACTAACCTGAATCAATAACATAAATCCAATCAGCAACCAGAGAACTGGCATGTTCGTCGGCACTCAGCCGGTGTTGTACGTAATTTGCAGCCACCTGAGGTTGAACAGCCTCGAGAATGTAGGCGCGTAACAAAGCTGGAGCCGGATGCTCAAGTGAGATATGATCCACTAAGTCGGGTGCTTTGTGTACGTCTGGTGACGAAGGACTCATGATTTCTGTATCTGTGGCTGTGATAAGGTTAAGAGATCAAACAAGGCTTCAGCCCCATGGCCAGAAAGGTAAACAACGCCAAAACAACACGGACAGGCAAAATAATCGTTGCCCTCACTGTGTCCTAGGATCTTGCTTTTGGCTGAGATGTCTGTATCGTTGATTCATAGACACTACCCTGTAGTACTACAATGGCAGCTGTTTTTGGAGCTACTGATAGTGCAGGTGAAGTTCGGCGCACGAAATGTTTTGAGAGAAGACGTTGTCTAGGGTGGATGTCGCGCGGCAAGAAAGATGCCATCATTGGATATTTGGACATTAAAGTGGGACGCCCTCCTCCAGGCAGCATCACATCACCTATAAACAACTCGCTCACGTAACTTTCACTTCATCAGCGACTTCATCATCGAGTCTCCTCTCTTCATTAACGCAATGGGCTCTCTTCCTCTCACCAGCATCACAGTGCCGCCAGCACAAGGCCAAACGCACTCTCACACCGTCGTGTTCCTGCACGGTCGAGGAGATAACGCTGCCAACTTCTCCAGCTCACTCCAATACTCGCGCGACTCCCAAGGCCGCACGCTTGCCGACGCTTTCCCTTCTTTTCGATGGGTATTTCCCCAAGCACCTAAAAGAAAATGCGCCAGTTCACCCGACGTGTGGAATCAGTGGTTCGATGTCTGGAACGTGAGGAATCTGTCGGAAAATGAAGATCTCCAGGCAGAAGGGCTCAAAGAAGTCGTGCCCATAATTCGCGATATTCTGGCCAAAGAAGCAAATGACTTGGGCGGGAGGTGGGATAAGGTCATTTTGATGGGCATCAGCATGGGCTCTGCGACGAGCGTGCACACTTTATTCAACCTCGACATCCCGACCCCAGACAAAAAATTGGGCGCCTTTATTGGCTTCAGCGGCCGTTGCCCGTTTGCCGGGCGATCACTCGATGAGATGCGCAAGACACTTCAACTCGATTCCTCCCCGACGCACAGCGACGTCCTCAAGAACACGCCTATGCTCTTGGAACATTGCGTCGATGATCCGTTAGTATTGGTGGATTGGGGCAGGAGGCAGTGTGAGATTCTGAGAGGTCTCGGAGCGAATGTGACTTGGAGGGAGTATGGCAGCGGAGGACACTGGTTTAATTCACCTCAGGGCATGGATGATGCGATAGCGTTTTTAAAGGCTGTTCTTTAGATGCTAGACTGAGAGACTTGTTTGTATCTACCTTGGGGATTGCAGCCAAGCTCATTCTCATTCACCGCTTGCCGCGACCGGCACCAATTTCGTTGATCACAACAGTTGATCCTGCTGTGTTCTCATTCGAAGACGCAACGACTGAGTAATGTCGGGAATTAATAAGATGTTGTTGTAACCAAGACTGACAAATTTGTATCAAGGAGGGCTGTGAAATGAATGGGAAATGGGCACTTTTGTTATCTGGGCGCCGCATTGAGGTTTGCGCAGCAGAATGGGGAGCTGCGCGTAGTAATCACTGGAGTCCAGTGCCGGTTGGCCAAAAACGCGCTACAGCCATTGGCATGGGGCGTGAGAAAGTGGGCGTTGGGCCATTCAGGGAGATTTCTAAAACTGAAATGTGACATTCTTTTGTTCCATTGCTAGCCTCTTATGACGTGTTAAAGGTCCAGACCAAGCCCTGATGGCCCATATGAAGTAAGTGGTGCTGGCGTTGAGGCTGAGTCTTGTTTTAGCTGGCAAACAAAAGTGTTTGGCGAGCTTTTGGTCGGGACCAAGGCATCAGCCGTGATCGAGATGATTGGACTAGCCTGATGAATCTCGGAGAAAAAGGCAGTGCTTACCCGCTCTCTAGGCATAAGAATTAATTAAATGAGTTCACATGCCGTCGAGGCAACGCAATTCAAGGACCCCGAAAGCCCTTTTCCCCGAATTGAGTCCCATTGCGCGAGGGTGCTACGTAGCCCGGGGCAGGTAAGAAAGCATCTAACTTTTACTCAAAGAGACAAAAGAATCACGGTAGACTCTTTGCTATTTTCGTGGACCCCTTGGTCCAGACTTTTTGGCAGCTAGGTTCACTGTCAGAAGCTTTCTTGCTCCCCAAAAGTAGCGCATCTTTCTAGCGTAGGGTACCCCGTAGTCCCCTGCAAGCTCAGCAGATCAGTTTACGGGGTCCGCGCGCGATATTGTCTAGTCTGGGTTGATGCCGTCGGATAATCGGCAAGTAAGACCACATCACCCCCGAATTCTAATTGGCCAGGTCGTACATTTTCAACATTGTCTGAACCCTCGAGCTAATGAAGCCTCCAGAATCGTACCCTGAGATTGCAGAATGGCTGAGCCTCACTATTACGAGTTTTACGAGACAGCAGGGCTGAGTTTAATTCTTTAGAGGTTACGGGATGGAGAATGCCCAGCCATGGACTGCTACTTTGTGACGCAGCTCCGGGTGCCAGGGCTGACACAGGTGCCGTCCTTGGTCGACTTATAAGTACGATAGCCCTGACACTTAGCTTGTTGTTTATCCAGAATTAAGGCATAAACTCATACCCGACAGTTCTCATTCATCACTTGTGTTCGCAGCCTAAAACTTAACCTTATAAACGGCAGTTATCCCCTTACCCGACAGCTCTGCTGCAAACAAGCACTTCCAATCCCTAACTGTTTCCACGTCAACATCCCAACCATGGAGAGACACGACATGCTGTACTCCGACGTAGAGTCCGCATCCTCATCAACATACCAACACTCCCAGACAGACATCTCTATCGTATCAGCATCCACAGCTCCATCGACTGTTCTTCCAGACGAGGGTATCATCTCAAGGACCTATGACGCTGCCAAAACCCTGTCGCACATAAAATGCCCTCACCAACTACAGAAGGACCGCCAAAGGAACAGCCCCGACAACACGGCCACAAAGGCAGCTTTCAAACATGACTACCAATCATATGCCCAAACATCTCACATGGGTATCCTTGACCCAGCATACAAAGTCTTTGTTAGCAAGAAGGGTTATGGATCCTTGATCTACAAACTTCACGCCAGGACCGTAGTCGTCGCTGGTGATCCACTATGCTCAGAGTTCCATCGCCAAGCGCTATTCAGTGAGCTTCGCCGTTATCGCTGGGCGCGCGGTCTATCACTTGCATTCGTCGGTATTAGCGAAGAGTTTGCCAAGTACGCACACCAACAAGGATGGGCGACGATGCATTTCGGCCACGAAGCCGTCCTCAACCCTCTAACCAACAAGGTCCTCCGCAAGCAAGCAGGCAAACGCATCCTCTCCCAGAACAAGCAGCTTCTCGACCCAAAACGTGGCGGTGTCACAATGAACTTTTATAGTCCCGCTGTAAATGAGACAGATCCCGAGCTAGAACGACAGCTGCAGGAGCTTTACGACGATTGGAGGGAGGACCGAAACCGGAAGCATGGAGATGGCTCACAGGCTTTTGTCACTGTCTACGATCTCTTCTCTCTCCCCGAATCCACAATTTTCTTATACACTTCCGACCGCGACGGCAAGATCAACGGACTAGCGACGCTACGAGAACTTGGCGCAGAGAGAGGATACCACCTCGATCCTTGCATCGCATCCCAAGATGCACCACGAGGAATTTCAGATCTGCTTGTTGTCACTGCCATGGAGATGCTCAAAGCTTCCGACGTGGGCTACATGAGTCTTGGAATCGAGCCCCTCGACGAGGTTCAAGAGGTCACGGGGTCATCGAAGCTTGTGTCACGGCTCTGGAAGGATGGCTACAACCAGATGATTCAGTCAGTGCCCGTGACAGGCAAAGCAGCATACTTTAAGAAGTTCTGCCCAGATGAATCGCTTACTTCGAAACTTTATATCTGCATACCCAGCAAAGGCATCCCCGTTCGGAGATCAATCGCGCTACTTCAATTCGCGAACATGAACCCCAGCCAGCTATTTACTCAAATACACTTAGGGGATCGGCATAAGGAGAAGGAAGCACCACAATCAGCATGAGATTTTCTACTTTTTGTCTTTCTTTTTGTATAATACCGTCACTTATATATACCGGGAGCGGGGATACCATTCTATCATTTAGTTTCTTTTGTCACATAGATAGACCAATTTTATGCAGCGTTCCATGATTTCAACATTGATCTTCCATCAAATTCTTCTATAAAGTATTGAATGTTCTCGATTACCTTGCAGGAGCCCTCGCACCCAGCTTTCTTGATATTGATATATCATGCATATTGAACCTTCGGGCCGGTGGCACGTTTAACAAAGAGAAATGATACTGGAGAACGACACCTTTTTTAGACTGGACCGTTGTTCGAACCGCCTGAAAACAGCAGTGTTTACCTTGACATGCCTTATCTTTGTTGAGGCTATGTGCATATTGCCTTTGGAAACCTGAGGTTGATTGGCATTTTTCAGTGTGTTGGGTTGATATGTCTGGTTGAGATTTCATAAGCTTTAACTGTCAATCAACCGGCAGTATTGGTCCTAATTCTTGTTTTGCCCCATAACATCACAGCACTCAAACGGCACTCGGAACATAGGCTGGCTATGTTTATGAAATATAACCATATGGAAAGTCCTTATTATCATGATAAACGTGGAACTAGTCTTGTGTAACTGGAAAGGTTGGATAATATGTGGAGCGCTGTAGACTGTTCTAGATATTGTCTTGCTCCAGGCTTTCCTACGAAGGAAACGGGGGTCAGATCCCAAAGCTTAGGTGTAACCCAGTAATAGGTCGCAGCACGTATCATTGCTCAAGCTTCCGCTTTGGTACTCACAGGTTTGTGGAATGACGGAACACTTCATAGATGAAAAAAGTGCTACAACCTTGGGGATATTCATGATCAACAGGCCGCGTGATTCTAGGTAAGTAACACCGCAGCCCAAATCCAAGCGGTGGAACAGAAAAAAGCTTGATTTCAACGAGACCTAGCTCCAGAAAGCTTCAATCGCGTCTAGTGCTGACGATGGCACGGCCCTTTGTATCACGATGTGGCGTGCCGAAGCTGACTCGGGTATCGCCGATCGGGTATATCGGGATTGACGTAAAGCCTCACTGGCACATAAATGATGCTTCAAGCCGTCCAAGCAAACCCCGCCACTTTCGTTTGATACCGTGCCACTTTGAAGCTATTTTAAGAACTACCTTGGCTCTACTACTGACGTTGACGTAATGAGGGCCGACAATATATCTATGCAGGGAGGAGGATACTACAATGAGAACTCTGCTCTTCAAGGGCAAGCCATAGATAAGTCACTAGAGCTACTTGACCCTTCTGCTAACCAGGGTATGATACCTTTCATGATGGATTCATTGACTTTGCCTTCATCCGGCTGATATAAAACGTCACAGGTCCATCAATAACCTTGGCTGACTATGGCTCCTCTGAGGGCAAGAACTCGTATGTATCTTCCTCATGGCGGTTCATCAAAATCACTAACCTTTGACATCAGTGTTCGGCTTTTTTTCGCAGTACCTAAAAAGGATCCCTTCCGTTACATCAGCAACATTGATCTTCAATGATACGCCATCAAACGACTTCTCCAGTTTGACGTCGACGATTCATCAAAACTGGGAAATCCTCTCACAAAACGGGAAGGTCTTCATAAATAGTCTATTGTCTCCGAGGTCGTACTTTGAGCAAGTTCTGCCTGATGGCTTTGTTGATGCTGGGTTTAACTTTACAGCTCTGCATTGGCTGCGCAACATGCCCGATGCATCTTCAACCCCCTCGTCGCTATCTACTGCGGCTCACGTGGACTTTGTCGACTTCCTTCTAGTGCGCCATAAAGAAATACGCCCTCATGGAACTATGACGATTTGTGTTCCCAGTGACGGTGACATCAGCGTTCTGCCGACCTTTCGATGCTTCGAGACCAGTCTTCGCAGTCTCTACGACAAGTATCAGGTCGACCCAGCCATCGCAAGTCGTCTTCCTATGTACTTTAGGACATCGGAGGAGATACTGACATCTATCGCTGCCGTCGATAAGAAGTGGGGCATCAGGAGCCTTCATACCCTACCACTAATGCATACCTCATGGTCGCCTGAGGTGATTGAGGCAAGCTCTGACGAATTTAAAGCGACTGCTCGGAAGAGATACACAGATGCGGTTGCCGGCTTCGCACTCGCAGCGTGTTCCCAATTTTTCATCGATGGTCTCAAACCTCAAGGCCACCGTGGTCCAAGGCCTGTAGAAGAGGCAATACGTCTGAGTGAGGAATTCATGACGGACCTGACTACTACATTCAAAACCGAGTTTCTCCGTACGCACTGTATGGATAAGGTTGGGTTCACATATACGCTGCTAGAGCTGGAAAGATTGTAAATTGTACACGTCTCATATCAGCCTGTTGTCTCATGGTCCAAAGACTTGAAACTGGAAGCTGGAATGTTTCTATATTTCTTAACATTTCCTAAATAGCTATATCAGCCCATATTCAAGTTCAATCACTCTGAGTTGCACTCGTTTCAACCAGCCCATACCCTACCAACTTCAAAGAGGCTTTTAGACGGGGAAATGTCTTGGGCAGTATCGTGCATGGGTTGATTTTGGAAGGCCGATTCCGCGTATTCGCTGTCTGGCCACCTGGGAGTTTCTAATAGGCCCAGGGTGCATGTGTTCGGCCTCCTACATGCATTAGCCAAGGTCGGCTGGGACAAAATGAGGAGGCATAAAGCGCCAATTGGCTGCTCTTTTGAGGCCAGCTTTGGAACCAACAGTAATTAATTTGCCACTACAACCCAGTTTACCAAGACTCTGATTGCTGTTTTGTCTTCGTTTCCCACTACATAATGCACTGTTAGTCTCGCAATTTGCTGCAAAATTGCTTCGGTTGTAACACTCTTACCTCACCGAAACCTTCCCACCATGGCCGAACTTGCGACAGACATGTGTTCACCAGAACTAGTGGACGACAACGTGGAGTCTGGTGCACTTGTCAAGACCCTGTCGCCAACGGATGAAGTAGTGAATGGAAACGCTGCTGAAGAGAGGTTTTTGGGTAAAAAGCTAAAGAAGAAGAAGGAGAAGAAGGAGAAAAAGAAAAAGGAGAAGGGAAAATCTCTTTTATTTAATAGCCAAGGCACTATCTTTGCAGAAGAGTCTTTAGCTGTCGAGCCAGTCACGTCGACAGAGGATCGAGAACAGTTGGTTGCTGTTCCTGAGGAGTTGGACATCCTGGACACCGCAATGCCTGAAGAGGATCCAGTTCTAGAGGCCGAGAGCGTTCATGGACCATCAGCTGAGTCCCCCTTCTCAGGGCATATCAATGGTGGTAAGTTTGCATTTGCTGTTTCTGGCATGACTCTCACACTTTACAGTCATTGAGCATGATATGCCACCACCAGCGCCTCCGCCACCAGCGCCTGAGCCACAGGAGCTCATATATCTCCCATTCAGCGCCCAACATAAGCTCATGGTGCACCTACAGGAGCGCCTTGAGACAATGTGCTTTTCCTTTGCCCAGCGTGTCCTCCCGCATGCTCTCGAAAGCCGCGGTTGGGATTGTCCAGAAATGCTACAGCTGCACCTCTGGATGAAAGACCCCGCTTTCCAGCACTACATGGAACAAAATGTGCCTGACATGGAACGTCGCCTTCAGATGATCGATTTCGCTATCGAGATTCGGCGCTGCGCTGTGAATCGCAAGCGGATTGATACGACTGTGTTGGAAGCTCTTCTCTCCTCCGCTTTGGACTTAGCTAAAGTTCTCGAGGAGCAATCCTCAGTCGATGAGCTTGAACAATTAAGAGACCGTGTCATCCAAACCACTCATCGCCTTGCCGAGGAAACTCAGGTAATGCAGGCCAGATACGAGACAAAGTTGCAGGGAATCGCCGCTGCTCGGGCAAGGTTGGATGTCATGGAGGAGGGGAACAAAACCTTGCTTGCCAAGAGGCTGGAGAAAAGTCGTTCTGCAGCCAATGGCAGAATCATCATGCTTATACGTGAGGCGGGATGCTCAACTCCAAAGGCAGCTTTGCCTGGAGCGTCAACAACGAGATCTTGTCTTGATTGGATGAACGATCTCGAGAGTAGCTTGGCTCTGGGTGAGGATGATGATGAGGACTTTGTGGGTTAGGAAAGTGGTTGAATAGCAAGCATCAACTGCCGACAGTAGCTTTACTGATTCCATATTGTTGTCAATCTAGTCAACCACCATCATCATTACCTGAACCCATGTCGTCAGTGATGCTTAGCTCATTGAGTTTCTAATCACCTCGGCAATGGTGGGATAGACGGCGGCACCAGCCTCACGGGCCACCCAAAACTGTGATTAATCAGCCCGAAGCGACCTGAATCGGGACACTTATTCATGGGCAGCCGATTTTAGTGCGACATGTGGGTTAATTGTTGCACCGTGGTGGAGTTTAGTTCCATACTCGGGGTTCTCGAGTTGTTCCGTAAGTGGAGATATCGGCCGATGCCTCGGCATCTTTCAACTCACCTCGCCAGGATCAAGAAAACTCTGTACCAGAAATCAAAGTGCCAGAAATAATCAGTAAAACTCCACAGGCTTTATTATTAACCTTGCGTTTGTATTTTTGGTGGTCAGGGTGGAGGCCTGGGGTTTATCTTTCTCCCATTAGTTCATCTATATTGGGTACCGTATAGCCGGGCCCTCTATTATTCGTATAAATAAATACTGTCCCGAACTATCGGTAACCCAGATCGATCATTTATCACTCACCTAGATCACCAATCAGTCCAATAAACTCTTTCAGTACCGAATCTCACATCATGGCTACCGTCGTTATCCAGTACCCTGTCGGTCACGATTTCGATGTCGACTACTATGTCAACACCCATATGCCTCTAGCCCACAAGTGCGTCTCAGCATTCATCCTCGCCCCAAAGAGAAATATCTAATGAGCTACAGGCTCTGGGGTCCTCAAGGCCTTGTCAGTGGACAGGTCATCAAGCTCGGGGGAGACAGCCCCTACCAAATCTATACTATCATCACATGGGACAGCTTGGCTTCGTTCCAGAGGGCCAGCGCTTCAGAGGAGGCGAAGCAGATTAAGGATGATGTGAAGAACTTCACTACTGCGACACCTACTGTTGTTATTGGTGAGACTGTCGCCAAGGCTTAGCTTGCGTATCGTCCTCGATGACACGTCTGCCTTTAGAATTAGAGTCGTTCTGATGTCGAATGTTCTCGGTGGCAGATTTAGAAGAAATATACGTTAATAAGTTATGGGAGATTAGAGATACCAATTTCATCGATAGAACCGGAACATCGATATACCCGTGATAGTGCCAGAAGAAAAAGAAAAGCTCAAATTCATCCCGACTTTGCATTGAGTTGCCATCTCATCTTTCCAACATCCAAGTCCGCATCTGGCCCTTTCGTCACTTTAACCATCTCAAAATCTCCTTTCTGGATATGCACCACAGCGGTATGCTAAATGCACGTTAATATCGGTCTTCGCCACTGAAGGACTCAGGGTACTTACCGTCCCCAATGTCAGGTTCAGCATGCCTTCGAAGAATTGTGGCTTGTATTCTTTGGCGGCGTTTTTACTCTTGATAAGACTGAGTATGTTTTCAACTGCAACCTCGCCTTGCACCATACAAGCCCGAGCTTGCTTTGCACCTCCAGACTGGGCCACGTCACCCACAGCAAAGATGTTCTGTCGGGGCGAGGGCAAATTTTGGACTTGAAGTGTTGGCTTGACTAGGATCTCGCCGTTAGATGCGATGCTCTTGGGAGAATATGCGGCGAGGATGTCAGATCGTGGACGAAGGCCAGTGCAGGGAATCTGTAATCCAAGTTAACTCGACAGCTTCTGTGGTTGGTCTGTTGCATACCACGAGGTCAAAGGTCTGGGTCTCTCCGTTAGAAAATGCGAGACTAGTCTCCTGGACAGATTGGCCAGCGTCACTTGGAAAGCTAGGTCTCTCGCCGAGCCTGACCTCGACATCTTGATTCTTGAGTGCAGATATGACATGATCATGGAGCTTGTGACCAAACCTGGGTAAGAGTTGTTGCCTGGAATGAATGAGGGTAACCTTTTTGCTGGGGTACTCTTCTTTAATTTCGGTTGCCAGTTCAACACCAACCGCTCCAGCACCAATGACCGCGATTTTATCGGCCTTGGCGATGCGTTGCTGGAATCCTCGTAATTCTTCAATTGCATCTTCCTTGATACGTGCGTTCAATCGAGCTGGAGGAGGCTGGGCTGCGCCAGTGGCAATCACGAGATAGTCGTAAGGAAGGGAGACACCGCCGACGGTGTGAACATGGGTCTCGGTGATATCGGATGCCTCGTCGCAGACTCGTTGGAAGATGCCATCCGGAGCACCTGTAGCGATGTTGTCGTACGTAATGAAAGCATTGTGCTCTCGTCCTGACAAGACGGAGTTCCGAGGGAAGCTGAAGGCGTAGTTGAAATGAGAGTGCTTTTCGATGAGAATGACCCGATAACCGGAGGGGAGCGTGTGAGCCAGGCGCTGGGCAACAAGACTCCCCGCAAAAGAGCCTCCAACGACGACCACGACACGTGAGTCAGGTAACAGTCGATACGTGGCTTTATGGACAATTGATTGTCCCTTGTGCACTACCATGCGGGCCAGATACGACACAATGACTTTGACAAAGTCGAAATAGAAACTTAGCTGCTGTAAATTCATCGTACAGGCGCGTTTGCTTAGGCTGCGTGACGGGGTTGGAGACGTTGCAGATCCACTAATGTCAAATGCGAGATGATCAGATAAGATCTTTTTAAATGATTTCGTACACGAGAGAAAATAAGCGGAACCTGGTTCATCCGCGGGCTCCGATTTCCATGCAGATTCCGTGGGTAAATCACGGGGATAAATGAATAAACCGATACTCAATAGCGGTGATTTCGAGGGTTGGGACAGGGGTTCTCCGAAGTCGGCAGGGACCAAACTGACTTACAACGAGAGTCTGTTCACAATTTTGTAGTAAAAGAGGATGGAAAAGAAAATCGAGGTATTAGAACAACATATATGAATAAAAAATACTTAATAATGGATATCTGCTCATTTGCTTCGGTGAAAAGGAAACAATTAAGCGTAGACCAACTCCGTCTCTTGACCCGATATCCGTACACCGAACCCGAATCGGTAAATTCGTATCAGAACACCCAAAGCCGTGACAGGCCACCCACGCCGGCAGCTGGATCTGTTTGGCGGCTGCTACGCCTAGACCCTGGCCCAGCCACGTCTTCTTCATCAGAAAAACTCGGCGGGTGGTCTTCTGGCGGTGGCTGGATCCATTCCGTATTCCGCTCTGCCTCAGGCCTGCTGAGAACCTTGATTGGTTCTTCACCAGAAAGCTCAAAGCTTTTGCCGGCAGCCTCTACTGTCATCTCCCATTGAATTCGGTGCGTGTGTCGAATGTTGAATGTTTGGAAGGATGGATATAGGTCTTTACTTCGCTGCAGACGAAGGTTGAGTTGTGCCCCGATATCGAGATTCTCTGAGGGTCTCATCTCAGATCCTGAGCCACTTCCCTGTAAATTCTGAGTATCCATGGCTGTTCTTTGCCATGGAATGTATAAATCGCCGTCATACTGATTAAAGGCATCCTCCGCATGCAGCGTTACTCGAGCTTCGCAGTCTGTCTCATGAACATTCTTCCCCTTTGGGCACTTGATCTCGGTCTTTGCGACAACGTTCATGAAAATTCGGCTTATCTGAATTGAAGGAAGACCTGGCTTCTGCTTTTCAAGGTCAACGCCTTGGGGTGGAACTGCAAAGACCACGAATGACATGGGGCCTGGAGCTTCAATCTGCAGTGTTGTCGGTGTCTGGACCTCAACGCTGGCCACCAAAGGGCTGTCGCCTTGGAGAGCGAGGGTCTGGCGTGTCTTATGAAGATCTATGTGAGCTGGAAATGGCTCTCCGTTGGTATACAGCATCCTGAAGGGTAATATTGCTTCAGCGCTACCAGAGCCTCTCGATGCTGTCTTCAATTCCGCTTGCAGGTAGTATTCAACAAACGCCGACATTCCAGACATGTATTCGTACCGCTCGATCAAGAATGTCGGCGGAAGAGGCTTTTCCGATAAATCCGTTGTCAGATAAGTCTGATCCGGCCCTGCCAACGGCTGTAGTGCAGATACATCTATGCGATTAGGCAGTCTGATTGAGAATAACCAGCGCTGCTCTACATCGTGTTCAGCGATATGTATAGGGCCTTCGAAAACAGTTTTTGAGTACTCTGCTGATTGCACGAGATCAAAACGTCCGCGATATGTCGATGTCAGATGCCCTCGCCGCGCCACCATTCGCGATTTACTCCGAGCGTGCAACGAGATAGTTACCGTAGCCGACGAAGCGACGATATGACTCTTTCGAGTTATGTGACCTGTAATCACTTCTCCAGGGATGTATGTTGAATCCGGACGATCCAAGTGGATAGCGAGCTCAGGGCCCTTTTTGGCGGGAGTTTGCGGCATGTTGGCAGAAGTGTCATTTGAGTTGTTCCGTCAAAGGATCAATTTGTTGAGATTGACGTTGCCTCCTATATAAATAACACATTTGGTAAGGCATTGTCAGGTGCTCCCGTCAGACGCGGAGAAATGAAGTCGCATCACTTCCACTTATAGCCAAATATACGTCATTCAGCCTTACAAGCCACCTTCAATCGGATCCTTATGCCATCTTCTCTATGATCGGGCGCAAGACCTAAGTTATAAGGGGAGATATGAAAGATTATAATTTCTGTTCTTGATGATAGAATACTTTAGTAACTGGGCAAAATTTAATACAGGCTTTTAAAACCTTTACATCAATTGATTCCGGTCCCTAAGCTTAGGGTTCTAAGGTTTTTCCCGCCAATGAGTCCCTATTACAGCACAATCGGAAAGCGACAACCAACCATGAGGAGAGAGCGATCATCGTGTTGGTCGCTGGTCGCTTTTTTCATTTTATGCAACCCTCAGCAAACCCTTTTTCGAGTGGCAAACTCAGTCGACTGAGGATAAGGCAATGAGCTTTAGGCGATGCCACAAAGCCAGGTTTGATGGCTCAAGGGGGGACAGCAATTCCGAGATTCATTGGATCTTCATCGCAACCCACCGTAGTAGAGTTTGGTGGGGTGATATAGTG